AATTAAAAAAAAAAAAGAAATGCACAATAATGGTACAAAAAATTCACATTAATGTGTTTGCATGTGCACATTAAAAATCCAAATAACAAAATGTTTACTGAGTTTTGTTTGGTGAGTTTGGTCTACATGGTGCAATCAATTAGTCACTGATAAGGAAAAAAATATACATTTATTATGCGACACGTGGCTTGGGAGAATAAATGATACGTGTGTTCCGAGAACAACTAGAGTCCAGGATTAAGGCCGAAGCCCAACGTCAATATAGGCATAAGGTCCCGAAGAGCTTTACTCTTGGCCCAATGTCCTGAGGAGAATTACTGTAGGCCCAAGGTCCAGAGGAGCTTTACTTTGGGCCCAAGGTCTGGAGTCAGCCCACCAAGCTAATGGGTTGGGAAGTCCTCCGTCTGCAGAAGGGAGACCTAGGTCGTCCCACTCCTATAAAAGGACGACCTAAGTCAAGGTAAGGGAGATTATTCTCACTACTCTAAACTCTCTCTTCTACTCATTCCGCAGCCACCACCTCGGAAAACCTAAAACCGATTCTAGCTTAAGCGACAGAGGGTCTACCCCTGGGGACAACCCCGGGGTTCTGTTTTGTAGGCGTCGGAGCAAAGGAGACGAGTTCAGGAAGACGTCGGAGCATCAATCGTCGCCACGTGTCCTCTGACTAACGTCAGCCGTCTGTGGGGACCGACGACTTAGGAAGAGGATTCATGGCGATACGGAAGAGAGGTGAAACCAGTCGACGGACGCGAGGTGTTTCACGACATGATCAATCCCAAGAAAGTTAATCAAACTCTTGGGCTAACCCTAGCCAAGGCCAAAGTTCACAAAATCCGGCAACCTCGGAGACCGAGGCCGAACGACTGCAGAGGGTCGAAAAAGAACTCCTTGAACTGAAGACCCTGATGAAGGGTATGATCGAAAAAGAAGCATCCCTATGTCGAAAAGGATCGAGAAGCCAGCCATGGCGAAGGTTCTAAAGCCCCCAACGATGAAACCGAGGTCATATCCCAAAGAGACCTCGGGAGAAGAAATTTCACATCTGAGGATGGCAGCCTTAAGCAAAAGCTTGAGGAGATGAATGAAAGGCTCGGAGTGGTGTGGAAAGAAGTCAGAAAGCCGACGTCGGACATTTTCTCACTCACCGAGTCCCCTTTGTTGATAGCATAATGAAAGAGGAAATTCCCTTTAGCTTCAAGATGCCTCAGATGGAGAATTATGATGGAACATCGGACCCCCGTGACCACCTTGAAAATTTCCAAGCTCTCATGATGCTTCATGGGGAGAACGACGCCATCAAGTGTCGAGTGTTCTCGGCCACGCTAAGAGTGCCAGAGTTTGGTTCTCTTCACTGCCAGTGACCTCTATCTATACTTTCAAACAATTGGCACAAGAATTCCTCAACCACTTTGTTAGCAGCAAATGGTACAAGAAAGCGTCAGCCCATCTTATGGGTATCCGTCAGAGGTCGAATGAGACGCTAAGGGACTTCATCCAACGTTTTAATGTAGAGGCACTAAAGATTGAGGACTTGGACCAGTCTGTGGCCTTAGCCGCACTCATGAATGGGGTTCGAAAGTCTTCAAGGTTCGCTTTCTCTTTGGCGAAAAAACCACCGCTATCCCTCCCTGAACTCTTCAGTAGGGCCGAAAAGTACATCAACGCTGAGGAGATGTCTAGAACGGAGAATGAGCATGAGACCTCTGACATAAAGAGGATGAGGGACTCTGGTGACGATAATGGCGGAAAGAGGAAAAAATTATGGGATAGGCTTTTTGTCACGACCAACTCATCGAAGGATCGGTCCAATCTCCCGAGGTTTGAAAGGTATACTCCTTTGCGTGCTACAAAGAATGAAATCTTGATGTATATTCGAGATAAGGACTATGTCAGGTGTCCAACCAAGATGAGAACCCCGACAAACAAAAGAAGTCATGATTAGTATTGCCGTTTTCACAGAGACCACGGTCACGATTCCGAGGACTGTGAGACCCTGAAAAACGAGATTGAGGACTTGATACACCAGAGGATACCTTAAGAAATTTTGTGGGAAAAGACAGAAGCAACCCTTAACCTCGGCGAAGACGCTCTAAACTCAAGTTGCTGGGGTCATAGTTGTCATGGCCGGAGGACCATCCGGCGGAGAAAGCAATTCTACTCGCAAAGCATATGCAAGGCAACTTCGAACAAGTGAGCTGGAAAAGAAAAGGGCTCGTAAGGAGACACAAATAACCTTTACATAGGAAGACACGGGTAACATTCTAACTCCTCATGATGATCCCATGGTCGTTACACTTACGATTGCGAATTACGGGGTCAAAAGGGTGTTGGTGGATAGTGGCAGCTCGGCTGATATCATATTCTATGATGCATTTGAGAAGATAAAAATTGGACGTGAACAACTAAGGCCAGTCAAAACTCCACTCATGGGGTTCACAGGTGAAACCGTGGAGCCGGAGAGAATTATAACTCTCCCGTTAACTGCAAGAGACTCACCGCAGCAAACCACGATCATGATGGATTTCTTAGTTGTGAAGGTCCTCTCCAGTTACAATGTCATCCTTTGGACGACCAGGGTTGAACAAGATGAAGGCCATAGTCTCTACATATCACATGCTTATGAAGTTCCAGACCGAGAATGGCATCAGGAAAGTTCGTTGAGACCAAGAGGTGTCCAGACAATGTTATGTAGCCTCACTCGAAGGTGAAAAGAAGAACTCAGAGGCTTTGACCATAGAAAGCTTAGATCCAGAGGACGAGGTTAAGGAAACAGGAGAACCAGTAGAGACCTTAGTCTCAATTGAGCTTTACGAATGGGAAAATGGAAAGGTTGTGCGAATAGGGTCCTCATTACCCGAGGACCTTAAGATAAAGCTTGTCCAATTCTTGAGAGAAACTGCCGAAGTCATTGCTTGGAGTCCATCTGACATGCCGGTAATTGACCCCGAGGTCATAGTCCACAGACTAAATGTGGACCCTAGCTTTAAGCCAGTTCAACAGAAGAAAAGGAGTCTTGCCCCGGATAGGGTCCAAGCAATCAACAGAGAGGTGGACAAGCTCTTAGATGCTGATTACATAAAGGAGGTAGATTATCCTGAGTGGTTGTCCAGCGTTGTCTTGGTTCTGAAAACAAGTGGCAATTGGAGGTATACATAGACTTTACAAGTCTAAACAAGGCGTGTCCAAAGGACAGCTTTCCCCTACCAAGGATAGACCAACTGGTAGACGCCACCGCCGGATGTGAAGTCCTCAGCTTCATGGATG